GGGCCCCACCACCGCCACTGGAGGTCCTCAGGTTGCCTTGAACAAGATCTTTCACCACATTGCCAACAACACCGTGCCCGAGTCGATTCGACATGCCCTTTGCTCCATCAACTACACTATCCTGGAGAAGGCCAATGGCAAGTTTCGACCCGTGGGCACGGATTCCATCTTCAACAAGGTTGTCAACCGCGCTCTGCTCGAGCAACAGCAGCCCCATATTGCCCACTTGCTACAGGCCAGTCCAGAGCTGGCCGTCGGAGTCAAGGACGGCATTTCAGCAGCGGTTGGCATGGCCTTTGGTGAGCTTCAAGCCTGTGAGTCTACCCCGGGCTGGACCATGCTCTCCCTCGATTTCAAGAGTGCCTTCAACTACACCGACCGAGCACGGCTACACGAGATTGTGGCCGACAAGGTTCCTGGCCTCTTGCGCGCCTTTGAACGACACTATGCTCGACCCACTACCCACTGCATTGTCGACAAGTTCTTCAAGGTGATTGACATTGATGTTGGCCAAGGCATTGTGCAGGGCAACGAGCTATCGCCCTTCTTCTTTGCCCTGTACTCCTGTGAGGTCCTCGGCCTCCTCGACGCCACCACTGACTACCGCTGCAAGATCATCAAATACCTCGACGACATTGTACTGATGGGTCCCGCGGAGGACGTGGCGGCCGACGTCGAGATTGTTAAGGCTCGTGCAGAGTCTGCTGGCCTTCATCTGCAGCCCAGTAAGAGCCGCTTCTACATGCCTCGCCACCATCCCGCTTCCATCACTGCTATCAAGTCTGTCTTACCAGATGCTGTGCGCGAGACGGCCAACACGGGCATGACGGTCTTGGGAACGCCGATTGGCCGTCGCGAGTGGATGAAGAAGCAGCTCAACGACAAGGCGAAGCACATTGCTGGCAAGCTCAATGAAATGCTGACGACCGGTGTCTCGCTTCAGGCCCTCCTCACGGCCATGCAGTACGTGCCTAGCCTCATCAACCACCTCTACACGCTGCCCCCAAGTCTCACGTCGGGCTTGTCCGAGCTCTTGAACCGTGCTTGCAAGGACACCTTTGTCAAAGCCTTTTTTGCCAAGGTAAACCTGTCTGCACCAGCTGGAGCTGAAGGTCATGACGTTACGCTGGAACAGCTCCTTGAGGCTCGCCTCTTCACGCGGGCCAACACCGGGGGCTTTGGCCTGCACGACTTGGTTGAGCGCGGTCCGGTGGCTTATGTCTGCAACATGGCCAAGCTGGCCACTCGCTACCCTCGGGTCTACGATCGACTTTTGGAGGATGCATCGAGGGCTGCCGACTTTGAGGCCCACGTGCAGCGGGCCGGCTTCCAGATGGCCACGGTCAAGGACGCGGCGACCCAGCGACCAGCGGAGATCATTGCCCTCCGCTCCAAGGCGGCACTGGACGACCTGATGGCCAAGTGTGCGCTGGACCTGCAGCAGGCATATCTGGCCTCACGTGAGTGGGGCGTCAGCACTGTCTTGACCATGCGGGGTCGGGACAAGTTGCGTCGCTTGAGCGACACGACCTTTGCCATTGCAGTCGTGTCCATGATGGGTTTTGGCCTCCATGAACTCATCAACGTCAAGCCGACGGACAAGTGCCCGCTCTGCAGCAGCAAGACACCTCAGCCGCGACTGACCCGCGAGCACCTGCTGACCTGCCGTCCCATCAAGCGTCACAACGCCCTTCGCGACGAGATGGGCCG